TGGGACCAGACAGCAGGAGGGCCGGCCAGCAGCATGGGCTGGAGCGGACGCCGAGGGGCCAGGGGCGGCGGGATTCTCTCCTCGGCCAAAGTCACGACATCAAGGTCAGGGCTCAGCAGAAACCTGGCGCAGCGGGCTCCGGCGGAGGTGCCCAGCGGGAGCCTGACCTAAAGCAGGTGCCTGACAAATCCTACTGACTGCCTCCCAGTTCCACCCCCCGGGGCCCAGGGAAGCCAGGGGCTCCCCCTGCCCCCCACTCCCCGTGAGCCACAGCACTGACCTTTGAGCTGCTCCCCTGCGCCTCCCAGCAGCTGGTAGAAAATGTGGAAGCTGCACTCGTCCTTGGCCTGGCGGATGGCCCGCGACTTCTCCAGCAGGTCTGGGCGGCCAGGAGTCAAGGTCCCGTAGGCGAGGGGCGGCGGGGAGGGTGGCGGGGAGGGTGGCGAGGGGACCCCACCCAGCCCCCTCGGCCCGTGCTGTCCCCCTGCCATCCTGTGAAGCCGTGGAGTTGTTCACAGCCCAGGCCTTGGGCATGTCACTTAAGCACGCGTGCCTCAGTTTCCTTCTATGTGCAAGAGGCTCAATACAACACCCATGGAAGAGTTGCCGTGAGGGTAGATGCATTACTCTGTGTCAAACACCCAGAGCAGTGCCTGGCTGGTAGCTAACCATGGCAAAGAATATCTCCGGCCATTATTACCCTGCTGGCCTCAGTTTCCCTATATGGATAGTGGGGCTATCGGCTCCTCCCTTGTAGGAAAGTCACGTGGCACGTTTACACTCTAAGAACCGGCAAGCCACCTTAAAGTAAAATAAAACACCTGCTAACTTGTTTACCCCTCCGTGGCCTCCCGCTCACGGACCACGCAGCACGGATTCAGCATGACAGTTGTAATGCGGGACCTACCTCGGGGAGCCGGGCCTGAGATCTGCTGCAAGCCATTGACCGAACTCCCCGGGTCGCTAACCTGCTCGGGTAAGGTGGGGAGGACCTGGGGAAGGGGTCCCTGCAGGCAGGGTGGGGTGGGGGAAACACACCCTGCGCCTTGGTTTCTTCTTCTGTTCAGTGGGCTGAGAATGGGTACGGGGACAAGGAACTGGGATCACACAGGGAGAACTCTCGGGACAGCACCAGGTGCAGAGCAAACGCTCAGGAAATGGGAGATGCCCGTTTGCTAAGACCCCCTCCCAAAACCCTTACATCCTACACCTGCCTCCCAGCCTTCCCCCAGAGCACAGAAGACTGTGAGTTTCTCAGACACCTCTAGGGATGGGCATGGGGTTAACTGTTAATATGGCTGATGTGACGATTACTAATTAGCAACCAAGAATGTTAACATCAATAAAGGACATTGCTAATTTATTCCAGTCGTTAACTCCTAATGATGGCAGCTCGTTCTGGAGTGTTTACTATATGGCGGGCGCCGTGCTAAGACTTTGACCCCCATTGCCCACCAGCCCTTCGAGGGCAGGTTCCATGATCCTCCCTCTTCCACAGAGGGGGAAACAGAGGCACAGAGAGGTCAAATAATGTGCCGAGGGTCCCTCAGCCTCAAAGTGGCAGAGCTGGAGTACGAACCCAGGTCGGTGTGATTTCTTTGCCCATTTTCTTAAATTCTGCACTCCTGGAGCTCTGGTGCTTTATCTTTTAAATTCCTACTGAGCTGGGGGGTGCCTGGGTGGCTCAGTCGTTAAGCGTCTGCCTTCAGCTCAGGTCATGATCCAGGGTCCTGGGATCGAGCCCCGCCTCGGGCTCCCTGCTCAGTAAGGAGTCTGCTTCTCCCTCTGCCCCTCTCCCCCCCAGTTTGTGCTCTCTCTCTCTCACTCTCAAATAAATAAATAAAATCTTAAAAAATAAATAAGTTCCTACTGAACTTGCATGCTGCCCACGCAGAGCAGGGTTGATACCACAGGTCTGAGATGGCCTGCTCCCATGGCTGCCCGTGGCTGGCTGGCGTCTGGGAAGCTGGATTTCGGGAGGGTTCCCAGCACTCCCTGACCGCCAGGAGGGGCTCCCTGTGCCTAAGCTGTTGGTGCAAACAACGTGGTTTCTGCTGAACACCTGCTTTCCTTCGGGGAGTCTGGAATTTTGGTACGTGCCAGGCCGAGGGCGCTGACGTGACTGGCCCCCACGAAAAACCCCAGGGTGCTGACGGAGGCTCTAACAAGCGTCCCTGATGGACAATGTCTCACACCTGTTGTCACGTCCCATTGCCTGTCCTGTGTGACTCCACGGGGAGGGGACTCCGGAAGCTGGCCCTGGTCTCCCCCACACTTGGCCCCACGTGCCTGTTCCCTCTGCAGCCTTGTGCCTTGTATCCCCTCTCTGTGGTAGGCCACAGCAGCGCCACCGCCCCACAGCAAGGCCACGGCAGTCCGGGCCTCCCCCCTCCACTGGGGGGGGGTGCTGCATCTATGCCTTTCCCAGGTTCCTTTCCCTTCCACAGAGGGGGAAACTGAGGCACGGTTTCTGAACATCAGGGAGCCAGGCTTCCCCGTGTGTGTGAACACCTGTTTCCTGGAAGCAGTGAGACCCCAAGGGCCACCCTCCTCGGCCACCAGGTACCCCCTGGGGCTATGTGAGGATACAGGTCTCGATGTTGGCACCCACGATGTACCCAGCCACATCGAAGTTGATGCGGATGAATTTGCCCTGGGAAGGAAGGGTCAGGAGTTAGCTGAGGGTCCTCTTCCCCACTGGGGACCTCAAGAGCACGTGTAACCCACACTCACCCCTCCCAGAGCTAATGCTGCATCTCGACTTTCTCTCTCCCTCAATCTGAACCCCGCCCCAATTGTGAGGTCCCAGCCAGGGGCTCCCTGGGGAATCCAAGGTCCGGACCCCTTTGACTGCTTTCCTCAGGACCCAGACCCCCAGCCCCTCCTCCCTCAGACCCAGGAGTCCAGACCCCCAGCCCCTCCTCCCTCAGACCCAGGAGTCCTGGCCCCACAGCCCCCTCCTCCCTCAGACCCAGGAGTCCAGGCCCCCAGCCCCTTCCTCCCTCAGTCAGCCCCCACTTCTTGCTTCCCCTCAACCACCCCCAAAGTTCCCAGCTCCCAGGTCCCAGCAGCCAGGCTCTGCTCTCCCCCAGCACTCACAAATCGGGAGGAGTTGTCATTCTTCACGGTCTTGGCATTGCCAAAGGCCTCCAGGATGGGGTTGGCCTGGAGAAGCTGCCGCTCCAGCTCACCCTGCAGGGCACGGGAGAGAGCCCATCAGTGACAACCGGGCCGGGGCGGGGGTCTGTGCTATAACCGGCTGGGTGTGTGTATGTGAGGGGCCTCCATGTGTCTGCGTGTGGGCCTGCTCTCCCACACCCAGGTCTTGCCCTTCAGTTTACTGTGAAGGGAACAAGGAAACATCTCTGAGATGCTTTGTGGAGTGGAAGCAACAAAAACATAAAAACCTGCTGCAGAGCAGTATCTACAGTGTGATCCCATTAGTAAAAAATAAATTGAGAAAAAAACACCACAAAACAAGACTCCCACTTCTCCAGGTATAGACCCATGTTTGTAAGCATTTAGAGAAAGGTCTACGAGGATACACACCAAACTGTCAACAGGGTATGCCACTCCAGGGAAGGGGCGCAGAGAAGACAAAAGCGGAATTTCATTTTGTCTTTTTCTGTTGTAAAACACACGGACTCATGGATTACTTGCAGGATTAATTAAGAAAAAAAAAAATCTATACCGTCCATATAACGTGCTTCAAACTGTCTGGCACATAGTAGGCATTCCAGAGATGGAAGCTTCCTTCCCCCACCAGGTGGCTCCAGGGAAGGGATCCTACTCTGAACTTCCCTCCAGCCACCTCAGTGTCAGAGCCAGGAGCATAGGTGCTCAGGAAGCAGCAACCCCCTTCTGCTCCTAGCGAGGTTCTCGAGGGCATCAACTATTTCTTTAAGTTTCTGTGAGCCAGGGCACCTGGGTGGCTCAGTCGTTAAGCGTCTGCCTTCGGCTCAGGTCATAATCCCAGGTCCTAGGATCGAGCCCCGCATCGGGGGTCCCTGCTCCGTGGGGAGCCTGCTTCTCCTTCTGCCTCCCCTCCCCGCTCATGCTCTCTCTCTGTCTCGCTCTCAAATAAGTAAATAAAATCTTGAAAAAAAAAATCAATTCCTGTGAGCCCTCAGACACTAGCATGAGCTGGGTGTATGCAGGCGGCCTGCAATAATGGCGCTGTTGGTCTCTGGGCTGTGTGAATCCATGTGTCTGTGGGTCCTATCTACACACACTCAGCAAGTCAGCAGTAAATGACAATTTGGTCTCACAGTTTCATCTTGGTGTCTGTGGCCCGTGGGCACACACACAGCAGGACTGCGCCAAGTGGCAACATGGGCTCTGGACGTGTGCACGCATAGGGCTGCCAGAAACAACAGTGGGGGGAGCTTCACACTAGGGTGGCATTAAATGACAGCACGGGGCCTGGCATGCACACAGTGGGACCACCATAAGCAGCAGCGTGGCTCCCGGGCGGCCACCGGTGCCCCGAGGCCTGTCTGCCGGGGAGACCGTGGGTTGGGCTGACCCAGGTGGTGTGAGGGGTGGCATGATTTGAGGTGATTCCCTGCTACTCACATAAGACAAGGTGCTGGCAGCCTGAGGAAGTCACGGGACACGAGACACGGACCAGGACACAGACCGGACGCGGCACATGGAACGTGGACAGACACACAGGTGAACCGGCGGTCTTGGGTGGTGGGCAGCGTGGGGAGACATGAGGGGCCGGGGAAATTGGGCATGTGGAGTAAGGTGGCCTGGGGGAACCACATCGCCTGGGTTTGAATCCTCTCCAGCCCTTCCTGGGTGTGTGACCTCTAACAGACGACTCACCGCAGCCGTGCCTGCAGTTTCTCATCTTTAACACACGAGAGCAACACCCACACACTGGAGTGTTGAGTTCACGTAAGCAGAGAGACTAGTACTATATAGATGCTCACTGGTGAAGGGAACTGGGAATCATAGGTCCTTACCTCAGGCCTGGCACACAGTAGGTGCTCAAGACTATAAGCACCTACTGTGTGCCAGGTGCTGTTCTGAGGGCTAATGAAGCCACAAGCTGGCCCTCGATTTTCCATTTCCATCCTGCCTCCACTCCTAGAACTGTCTCAGGCACACAGTGGGTGTGCTGGCAGCATGGGCAGCCAAGAGAAGGCTCACAATTATGGCCTTCCATAAGGGAGGCAGGGGGTTATGGGGAAAAGCAGGGCCTCAGATGGAGGGGGCATTGCCAGTGGCAGGGTCCAGAGCATGTCCCGAGGCAGGGCACTCACCGGTACACCTGGCTCCTTCCTGCCCTTTGGTGATGATGCCACGTGGGCGAGATACTGGATGACCTTCTTGGTGTTTTCTGTCTTCCCAGCCCCAGATTCCCCGCTATGGCAGGCACAAGGGGGAGAGCAAAGGGGGTTGACAATGATGCCAGGTAAGACCTGCCCATTCCAAGCAGAGCCACACCCAGCCAGGACCCTGCCTCCTCCAGGAAGTCCTTCAGGATTACTCACGTGCAGAGAATGGACTGATCTTCACGATCTGTAAGGGACAGAGGTCGACATGTCACCTGGAGGGTCTCTAGAGTGGGACCCTGACCTCTTATACCATACCCTCTTCAAAGGGGTAAGGAAAAGTGTTTTGCCCCCCAAAAGGGTTTTTTTAAGATTTTATCTATTTATTTGAGAGAGAGCATGAGCAGGGGGCGGGACAGAGGCAGAGGGAGAAGCAGACTCCCCTGCTGGGCAGGGAGCCCAACACAGGACTCGATCCCAGGACCCCGAGATCATGACTTGAGCTGAAGGCAGCCGCTTAACCGACTGAGCCACCCAGGCTCCCCTCCCCGCAAAAGGGTTTTGATGTGTGACATTCTTGAATTCTAACACCCCACTCCAACCCGGCTTCTTGCTTGCTGTATGATGCTGGCAAAGTTGCTGTCCCTCTCTCAGCCTGTTTCCTCACCTGTAAAATGGAGCAGAAAAACTCCAACTGAACAGAATGGAATGCGTTCAACAAACTTCGATTTGAGCCCCTCCCGTGCTCCACCTCATGCTGGGTGTGTGGGATGCAAAGACATGAGAGCAAGGTCCGTGCCCCCAAGGCTCAGCCGTTGGCATAAAGCAGGTCACAATACAGTAGTGATGGTGACTGGTGGCCCACGGGTGGATCTCTGCCCTGCAGAGAGCACAGCGTGGTTCCCACCATCTCCCCCAGTGCTCACCCTGCGTCTGATACGACTGATTACCTACTAAGCACCAGGCACCTACAATGATGGGAACTGGCAAAGTCCCTGCCTTCACGGAGCTTCTGCTTGAGTTGGGGGACAAAAAGCACATAAAGTAAAAACGAAGATGATTTGACAGTTGGCAGTGTCTGCAGACATTTTCGGTTTGGTTGTACTGGTTGGGTCCACTGAGTAGAGCTCAGGAATGCTGCTGAACATCCTACAATGCATGGGATGCCCTGTGTAAAGAATTCTCCAGCCCCAAATGCCAACAGAGCCAGAATTAAGAAGCCCTGGTGTAATGTAATAAGAAGACTGAGGGGTGGAGGGCCAGGAAGGCTTCCCAGAAGAGGTGATGTTTCAGCTCAGCCTTAAAGGACGAGGAAGTAGAGAAAGAGCGCTCCAGGCAGAGGACACACAGCCAGTGCAAAGGCCCTGTGGTGAGACCAAGTTGGAGATGTCTGAGAGACAGAAAGGAGGCCAGAGAAGTTGGGGGACAGGGCAGAGCTGGAGATTGTGCAGACGGGTTTGGAGGTCAGGATTAAAAGATCTGGATAGTTTTGGGGGCACATAGGTGGCTCAGTTAGTTAAGCGTCCGATTCTTGATTTCGGCTCAGGTCATGAATTCAGGGTTGTGAAATCGAGCCCCATGTCGGGCTCCATGCTCAGCGGCTATTCTGCTTTAGATTCTCTCTCTCCTTCTGCCCTTCCCCCTCCCCTCTCAAATAAATAAATAAATCTTTTTTAAAAATCAAGAGAGCTTTTAAATGGGGCAGGAGGTCTCCAGGTAGGTGGTTTTAAGCCAAAGGGAGAGCTGCATTCAGCCTGGTTTGGAAGCCATACGGATGTGGGTTCAAGGCCCAGCCTCCCCTCTGCCTTGCTGTGTGACCTTGAGCCAATCTCTGAGATGCTCCATGCCTCAGTTTCCCCATCTCAAAAATAGGGCTCAAACAGCCCTCACCTCACAGGGCTGTAGTCAGAACTCAGAGAGAATGTCCAAAAAAGTTTTTATATACTAGTTAGTACATAATGCTGTTTTGTGGCCTGTTTTCTATCAGGGGCTGAGCCCTGGGGCCCGGGATCTCGCTCTTGTGTCTTTGAATCTCTCACGCCCAGCACAAAGCGGCGCACACGGTAGGGGCTCAAATTGTAGTTGGTTGAATGAATCATATTCTGTTCAGCTGAGGTTTACTGTCTCCATTTTACAGGTGAGGAAAGAGACTCAAAGAGAGGGACAGCTGTTCCGCTAGGGTCACACAGAAAGCAAGAGGCTGAGTTGGGTAGGGTATTAGAACGAGGTGAGTCACACAGCAAAACCCACAACACCCAGCCCAGGGTGAGGATGTGACACACAGTGTGACCCACATACAGGGAGGCAGAGGTTGGGAGCCCTGGGTCCAAGACCCATCTCAGCCACCCACCCACCACTGGGACTGTAGGCAATGACGGTGTGCTCTGTGCCTCAGTTTCCCCAGCTGGAAACCAGGGCTAATGAGCACACTTACTTTATGGGGTTGCTCATTATGAGGTTAAATATGACAATCCATGAAAAGTGCTCGGCACAAAGTAGCCACTCACCCCTGCTTTATTGTTTGTCTGTTTATTTATTTATTTATTCCTAAGGTATAATGACCAACATATAATAATGGCTAAAAAGTATTATAAAAATAAATATATAACAAATCAGATTATATAACCAAAGGAAAGAAGTGTCACCAATGACCAAATATAAATTTATAATGTGAATACAAAAACGTTGCCTAATAAACGTGTTCTACTGCATAATGCAGGTTTATGATATATTGGATATTAAACCACTGGTTCTCAAACTTGGTGCCAGTGTCAGGATCCCCAGAGGGAGCCCAGGGATCTTGTGAAGCTCCCAGAGTTTCTCTGCCTTAGCAGGTCTGGAGTGGGGCCCAAGTTTGCATTTCTGACAAGTTTCCAGGTGATGCTGATGCTCACCACACTCTGAGAACCACCGCATTATGCATTATAAATGCATCATTATAACCCACAATAGAACTATAGCATATGATATGTGATATAAGTATAATACATGCCGCATAAATATACTGCCACATACCATCATATGTCATATGATAGTAAGACAAATTTTTAAATATTTAATATGCATTTAATATAAGCCAAATATTAAAATAGATATGTAATAATTTATAATGATTACATTATGTATAGTACATGTGAATTATGTCATTTTGCCCGGACATCCTTGTACAACCTGCCCAACTGTACACGGTGACCCCACATTGTCCACCATCCAAGGGACTGACATTAATTCCGTGACAATGTGGATCATGTAACAACATAAATGTTGAATGAATGAACACTAAGAATCACTGTCTCAAGAGAAAATTTTGCAGAAGCCTGGCATCAGTTGGCTCCCAGATGATACTGCTGAGAGAAGGGGTGAGCATAGAGACAAATAAAAAGGGGCCTGTCTGGTAGGATCCAGAACTCATCCACTCAGCCCTCCACTTGTGCTTCCTCCTACCCCATGAAGAAGCCTCAGAGTCCGAAATTCTTGATCTGTCATCTTATCCTGACTCCCAGAATAGCCCCCCCCCCACCTCGAAGAGACATGTCCAGCAGTCCCAGCCCCATACTCACCCTGGAGCATGCTTCGGTAGGCCCCCTCAGTCACTGCATACACGTGGGGTGGCACTTCATGGCGTTTCTTGCCCCGGTACATCTCCACAATGGCCTCCGTATAGATGGGAAGCTGCTTGTATGGATTGATGACCACACAGAAAAGGCCAGAGTATGTCTGCAGCGGGCAAGAAAGGAAAGGGCCTCAGCTGCCAGTCTGAGGCCCAGAGGGCAGCAGGGACTGCCATGTACAGCTGGGCAGGTTGTGCACAGCACAAGGATGGCCATCAAAGGGGCTGCTGTTCAGATCATGACAATGTAGATTTGACCATTTGTGACAAAGACTTTCAGGTTGAAGGTGGAAGAGAATCTTTCCATATTGCACAAAGGTGCTGTATGGATTAGGATTCACCCTGAAAGAGAATGTGGCCTTTGCAGCCAGCCAGACTTGGGTCACAGCCCACTACCACCTGGATTCACACACACGTAAAATGACCATGTGCGAGCTCATCTGCTGCAGCACTCTTTATAAAGGCAGAAGTCTGGAAATGACCTGCATGTATGTTCTTAAAATGGATCGCTATGATACTTGTGTACGGATACGAAATTATCTCCAAAGCATTATCGAAGAAAGAACACAAGGTGAGGACTGTTTGCATTGAAAGAAGAGGAATAGTTAGATTTGTATGTATTTGTTTGAATGTACATCCTCAGAAGGTATCACAGTATCTCCCGCTGAAACGTGACAGAACCAAGTCTGTGGTTTCTAATGAAAACAGACTCACGGGCGGGCTTACACGCTTACGGGAGGAAATGCTGAAGTTCAGGATCGAGGTACGTGAAAATAAAGATGCAATTTTTCTTGCATCCAACTTCACGGACTCCCTGAATTCGTGCTGACCCCTGACGGGCCCGGGGTTCAGCTGACAACAGAGGCACTCCAGCCACAAAGAGGCAGTGAGGATTGCTAGAGAGCTAGCTGGTCACCCAGCTAAACCAACCCAGAGACCTCACCAGCTATGCCAGCCGGAATTGGCTCTCGAAATGAGCCGGAGAGGTAGGTGCTTAGTGGCCTCGCTGGTTAACGATTAAACCACTTAGCTATCCGGCCAGCTCCTTAGTGGGTTAGTAGTGGGATTGCTTTAAGCTCCCCAGACAGCTTGCGCTTCTCAAGCTGAGCAGGGTGTGGCCACCACGGCCTCCCCGGCTCCCAGGTGCCAACCCTTTAACGGTGGGAGGGTGGGTGGCCAGCCGAGAGCCGAACAACCGGTTTGCTGGGTGTCTGCCCTCACTGCCTTAAAGAGTTGCTCCCGGGAGCTCCCCTGGCAGAGGGCGGGGCAGCCGGACCACATTCCCTGGGAGGGTATCTCATGGCTGCTGGCGCCCCGGCCCCCACTCCTGCCTGGCGGAAGAACCCACTCCCCTACGCCACCCTCCCACCTCAGCTCCCTCCTGCCAGCCACGCCTTGTTGCCAGGATGACACCCCCCCGCCCCCCATGGCAACCTGAGCTGGCTGCCAAGGCCAGGGAGCAAAGGGCAGAGGCTGTGCCCATAGAGAGGGTTAGAGACACCTGAGTCGAGGGGGCAGAGCAGGGGACACCCGGTTGGAAGGGTCTGACGCAGATGCCCAGCCCCCGGGGCTCTGAAGCCATCCAGCCCAGTGACTCCAGTCTCAGTTTCCTCCCCACCTCATTACAGAGGCTGTGGGGATTAAGGGAGATAACAAATAAAAACCAGCCAGCCCAAGGCGGGGCCCTTAAAAGGCACTCCAAGTGTGGGTCCCGAGACTCTCCTGTTACCCGTCCCACCTGGGAGCTAAGAGCTCGCTCAGACTTCAAAGCCGTGTCATCCTGGGTTTCCACTTGTGTGTGACTTGCACAAGGGATTTGCCCTCCCTGAGCCTTAGTCCCCAGCCCCGGAAAATGGGCTTTTAACCCTGACCACTTAGAAAGATTCTGAGCACGGTGTGTGCTCAACAGACGGGTTCTCTCCCTGCCCAAAGCATCCAGGCAAAGGGACTGAGACCTTCAGGGACTCCAGGCCAAAGAACGTATTAGTGGCAGAAACTGGGTTTCTGGAGGCCTGGACACCATACCCACCGATCAGCGCTGTCTTCCCCATCACCAGTCAGCCAGCCAAACAAGTATCTATAAAGCACGGCCCGAAGACAAGCAGGGTGGAGCTTGATCACACCTCTGACACCTTCTGGAAGGCAGGTGGAGCAAGCACCCTGAGCTTTCTGGATCTTACTTTCTCATCAAACGGGGTCAGGAACAGCACTTCCATATAGGGTGGCTGGGAACCATCCATAGGTTCGTCTTGCACGTACGAGGCACGGTAAGGGCCCTGGAACACTGCGTGTGCTTAATATGTTAGTTGTTAACTACCACGGGGCCGATGGCTTCCCCTCTCCGAGATGGGGGAATAGATGATAATCATTCCTACCTGGTAGCTGTGTGTGGAGGGAGGGGGTCAGCAAGATCACGTCGGAAAGTTTAGAACAGCACCCGACAGAGAAAGCAGGCACTCACTAAGTGCTAATGGTTATTACTAAGGCCCAATTAGCTCCCTGTCTAGTCCTCTGGAATCTTCCATCTCGTTTCCATTTGTGAGACCCAGGGGAGTGGCTTGGGCCGAGGCCTCTTTCCCAGGGTTTGCAAAAGTGAGCGAGGACTCAGCAGGGGCCAGTGCGGCCTGGAGAACATTGCCAACCCCATCCGGAGTCACACAGCCCTCGATTCCAATCCCACAACCGTCGCCTCAAGCTGAGGGGTCCTGAGCCAGCCACTGGCCCTCCCAGCCTTGGTCCCCTCCTTCCCAAACGGGAGTCAGACTTCATAAAAATATTTTGAGCTTATGGGTGGATATTGCGGCCACTCTATTTTTATATTTTGATATAGCTCATCATTGAGTTAAATGTTCTTTTATTACTCCCATTAAAGTTTTGTCTTTTTTTTTTTTTTTTAAATATAAAACCAGCACTTTTCCTTTGAGGGTGTTAGCTAGGTCTTTAAAGAATTTTCTTGGGGGGTGAGCGCCAAGGCGGTGAGACCCCAGCCCTCTAAGCTGCTATTTGGAGTGCGATTCTGGGACCAGCTGCGTGGGTTCAAATCCTGCCCCGACTCCTTCCTATCTGTGTGACCCGGGATCCAAGTCGCTTGACATTCCTGAACATCAGGTGATAACAACGGTCCCTGGCCCAGAGGTGCGCCGATAACCCGCACTCAGCACTTAGAACAGCACTTGGCACATGGTAAGTGCTCAATAAATATTTGCTAGCCACCATTATTATTATTTTTCATTACTATTGTTGACATTCTTTGTCAATCTCTTTAATCCTGTTTGCTCTAATAATGCTCTGGCTGCCCATTAGAACCACCCTGGAAGCTTATTAAAAAATACTACTGTCCATGTCACAGCCCTGGGAAGCCTGATTTAAACAGGGGAGGGTGGGGCTCGGGTGCTAGTACTTTCAAAAAATTCCCCAGGCGATTCTAACTCACAAAGACGGGCTTCCGAACCACTGCCCTCCCTACTCCACTGTTTGCTGTAGAGATTAATGCGAGAGATACTCGACGCTCAACAGACACGAAACCACCAGAATCAACCTCACAATCATCAATCCTATCTTCATCTTGAGAGGCGCCACAGCGGAGGGATGGCGCCTGCAGCTGGCCGGCCCAGGTCCGCCCGGTCCGCCTGGGTGACCTTGGTCAGGGAACTTGACCTTTCTGGGCCTCCCTGTTTGTTCAATCTGTAAAATGGGGACTACGTGCTTTATAATTGGGAAAGTGTATGGAGACAATACACTTAAGAGTGCCTAGTGCTTGCTTAATAAATGTCAGCGTTTATTGTTATGAAGTCTCTCCCGGCCTCAGTTTCCTTTTCGGTAAAATGGAGCTAATAATAGGCTCTGCTTTGTGTACAGTGAGAGGAAGTGAATTAATATATGGAAAGGAATTTAGGACAGAGCCTGGCGTGCAGTTTCCCATACTCGGTGGTTGTCACTCATTATTACGACAGACCCATATCCGTTTCTCAAAACCCTTTGATGTGTTCCATTTGAGCACTTGGAATTTTTTTTTACACTTTAGGAAAAATAATAAGGTGCACGGCATCTACCGTATAATATTCCGGGACTCCCCCAATGGCGTCTGAGGCCGTTCTAGGCAATAATTTGTAATTTGGCAACTCCGTGTAGGAATAGCCGCAGGGCGCGGGATCCCGAGCAGAAATGGCCTCGCGCTACTCAAGCTGGGGGCTGCACCCGGCTCCCCACCCCCGGGCCATGCCCTCCTGGCCCGCGGCTACTCACGTAGATGAGGCCCGAGTAGTACCGCTCACGGAGATTGTGCAGCACGGAGGCCTCGTTGAGGCAGGTGAGCTCGGCCATGTCCTCCGCCTTGCTGAACTTGGGCGGGTTCATGCGCTGAATCTGGTCCCGCGGCAGCCGCAGCCTGCGCCCGCTCTCCGCCAGCTCCACCTCGGCCTCCTCCTCGCCCTCATTGCGCAGCGCCGCCGCCTCGAACCCGTGCAGCTCCGAGGGCACCCACACCAGGCGCCGCGCCGTCCACTCCACCTGCGGCGAGGTGCCGCCGCCCCCCGGCGAGCCACCCACGCCCGACCCACTGGGCGCGAACAGGTACGACTGGGCGGCCTCGGGCACTGGGCCGGGCCTGGGGGCTGCCTTCCGCCGGGGCACGGACAAGGTCACCGCCGCCATGGTCTGCAGGGGAGAGAAGGCTGGAGGTTAGGTGGGGCTCCGTTCCCAGCCCAGACCGCCCCCCCCAAGGCAGTCCCCACTGCCTTTCTTCACCAGACCTCTTTTTACACATCTGCAAAATGGGCCCACAGATCTCCCTCACTAATTCCATTCATTCACTCAATAATTATCTAATCAGCCTCGCTGGGTCAGGCACTGTTCAAGGCATTGGCCATATAGCCAAGAAGCCAGCAACAGATCCCTGCCTACAGAAGGCATTTGCATTCCAGCCCAGTGCTGTCCAGTATGGAAGCCACTGCCACATACGGCTACTGGACAGTTGAAATGGAGAATCCAAACTGAAATGGGGTCTAAGTATAAGACACACGCCAGATTTCAAAGACTTGGTACAACAAAAAACTCAGTATGTTTTATATTGGATGATTGATACATTGCAATGATAGTTATTTTGAATACACTGGGTTAAATAATATATATCATTGACATTAACAATACTTGTTCCTTTTGAGTTTTTTCCATTTTTAATGTGGCAACTACAACATTTTAAATTACACATTTGGCTTGCATTATATTCTTATTGGGTAATGATGCTCTAATCCCAGGAGACAGATAAAAAGATAAGTGAGTAAATTACATAGGAGGTTAAATGTGATAAATGCCAAGGAGAAAAAGAAAGCAGGGAACAGGGGATGTTAGGATTGAGGGGTGCTGCAGTTTTAATTGGGATGGCCAGGGAAGGCCTCTCTGATGTGGTATTTGAATAAAGACCTGAGGGAGATGAAGGGAGTGAGCCATGGGAATGTTGAGAGGTAAAGCATTCCAGGCTGGGAGAAGAGCCAGTGCAAAGGCCCTGAGGCAGGAGTGTGCCTGTGTGTCTATGGCGTTGTGAGAAGCCAGTGCGGCTAGAGCCAAGTAAACGAGGGGGAGAAGGTGGTAGGTGAAGTAAGATCGGGGACCAAGAGGGCCAGACTGAGTCATGATGAGGACCTCAGCCTCTTAGATGTGAGCCCTAGGAAGGCATCAATCTGATCTCTGTCACTCAGGTTCCTCGACCACCTCCAGCCTACCCCATAACTGCAGAACAGACTCAAATCTCATGCCTTAGTTATCAGTTCCTTCCTTCCCTGCAACCCGGCTTCCTTTTCTTTATGATGGGGAGAGCAGCCCCATTCATTTACTTCTGCATTCACTCAACATTCTGTGAGGCTGTTCAGATGCCAGGCTCTGCCTGGAGTGAGTCTGGGGACCCTGAGATGCTTCAGATGGGCCCTGCCTCGAGGAGCTCCTGATCTGGGGGTGATCCAGCTCTAGTCTCAGCCGGCCACAACCCGGTGTGACCTGTGTGCTGTAATGGAGACACTGGGTGAGCCAGAATGTGCTAGACCCCTCCCCGCCCTCAAAGGGCCCACAAACCAGCAGCGAATAGCCCACAGCAATTTCAGGGCAGTCTAAGCACCAGTCAGGAAAAATGCCCTCCCTGTCCCTCCCTGGGCCCTGTTCCCGGAGAGGTCTACCTCTATTCTCTCCCTCAACCTCAAACATCCGCACCAGTCACAGGAATACCCGAATAGTTGTCTCGCCCACCTCAATGTTTCTGCCTCTGCCCTCCAGGACCCCCACCTCCAACACATCCGTGGAGAAGTCCCTCCAAACACCCAGCTCTTCTTAAGGCATCCCTACATCTGGTCCCATCAGGCTCTTGGCTTTCCCTCAGAGCCTCTCCCACCTGGAAACTCGGCTCCAGACCACACATCCCACTTCCACCCAGACCCCTTACCCAGGCCCCAGCACCAGCAGCCCTTGGTGCTCTCAGGTCTCAAACGGATGGCTCCTGCCCTCAAGCAGCAGGGTGCTCCCCCCCCCCACTCCCCAGGCTCCCAATTGCCAAAGCTAACCCCTGGCCTCCAGTGTGGCCCTGATCCACCCAGAGCCAAGCCCCATCCCTGGGACTTTGCCCCTACCCTCACCCTACCCCACCCCACCCACTTCCCCCTCCAGCCTTCGGCCTTTGACCAGGAAAGGTTTGGGAGTTTTTGCAATCATCCAGTCCAACGCTTCCCCTCCCTAGAGCCAGGAGTCTGGGCCCCCAGTCCCTTCCCCCTTGGACCCATGAGCCCGGGGGCCCCCTCACCTCACAGCAGCCGGGCTAGAGGTGAGGATGATGGGACATCCAAACCCTGAGGACTGACATCAGCCCTGATGGGGAGGGCCTGCAGGCCTTGGCTCCAGATGGCTGAGCCCCTCCGGCAGCCCCACCCTCCTTAGCCGGCAGGAACACCTCTGCCTGGGCTCATTACTGTCACCAGGGCAGGTGCTTTCACCTGCCCTGGGAGGGGCAGAGACCGCTGGGCTGGAAAAGGAAAAGGAGCCAGGGATCCGCCCCTGGGGCAGGGGCCAGGCCCTTGGCATCCAGCCCTCTGACCTCAGCCTAGTGCTAGTATTCAAGAGGCCCTTCGGTGGCTAGGCCCGGAAATCTGGGCCCCCAGCCCCTCCTCCCTCAGACCCAGAGGTCCAGGCCCCCAGCCCCCTCCTCCCTTAGACCCAGGAGTCAGGGCCCCCAGCCCCTCCTCCCTCAGACCCAGGAATCCGGGCCCCCAGCCCCTCCTTCCTCAAGACCAGGAGTCCGGGCCCCCAGACCCAGTGTCCTGGCCCCAGTGCCTTTGTCCCTCAAGACCCAGAAGTCCAGGCTCCCAGTGCTGTCCTCACTCAGACCTGGGATTCCTGGCCCCCAACTCCCCTCCTCAGATCCAGGAATCCGAGCGCCCAATCCCCATTTCCCCGAGACCCACGCGCCCTGTGGCCGCCCCCTCAGCTCGCGAATCCTCGGGGCTACCTGGGGCCGCCGGCCGGTGCGGAAGCGGGAAGATGGGGAGGGGGCACGGGAATCCCCGGGCCGATTGAGCTCTCAGGTGCGACTACCTCCGCGGTCCAGCGCGGGGCGGGGCCACGTCGCGTCACCCGGAGGTAGCCCGGCTCTGATGTCACCCAGCACCTGCCCGGCTCAGGGAAGGAGGCGGGTCCTGGAGCTGCAAGGCCCTTCGCTGGGGGATGGGGGGAAGCGGAGATGAGTCTGTTGCCAGGTGGGCCACAGCGGCGGCAGCGGCAGCACCAGGGGCCCCTCCTCCTCCTGGCGGGCAAAAATCAAGGACCCACGCGGCGGAGAGGGCTGAGGACTCCGGGGTTCGAATCCCGCTCAAGCTTTCTGGGCCTCAGCTTCCCTCTGCGTGAATTGCGGCCAAAGAAATGAATAAGATGATGTGGGAGAAAAGGCCCCCAGCCCAGTGCTTAAACAAGCAGTGCCTCATGACATCATTTGATCTTTCTGAGCCTCAGTTTCCCCAACCCCAGAAATGGGACAACACAATCCACAGAGAGTACCAAAGAAGACCACAAAGTGTTATTCTGGCCTCCGGAGCTTCAGTCTTCTCATGGGTGGAATGAGGACTAAGTAGTGGTAAGCGCACCTACTCCGTGCCGATGTTTTTCTAGAACAGCTCTCTGAGTTTTAATTCATAGAATGATCTCAAAAACCAGTGTGAGGGGCACCTGGGTGGCTCAGCTGTTAGGTATCTGCCTTCGGCTCAGGTCATGATCCCAGGATCCTGGAATCAAACTCCAGGTCTGGCTCCCTGCTCAACGGAGAGCTTGCTTCTCCCTCTCCCTCTGCTGCTCCCCCTGCTTGTGCTGTCTGTCTGTCTGTCTCTGTCAAAGAAAACAAAAAAACAACAACAATGTGATAGGGACAATCAGCATCTCCATTCATCCAACGGGGAAAGCGAGGCACGGAGAGGGGAAGTAATGCTCTGAAGGTCACACAGTCAGTAAGAAGGAGAGCTAGGATCCAAGCTCACACCGTTTTCTGTCATTCTAAAGAGGAATTTGGGGTACTGGGTACTCTAAGGGATCAATTTCCTCTTCTTCATTGGTTAACTCTCTCGAACCTGCTTCCCCATCTTCACCATAGGACCACAGCCTTCTTTAGGGGACTACTGTGAGATTAAAAAGGTTAAGGGACCCAACACACAGTTGGTCTCCAAAGTGTTATTCGCAACCCTGTCTCCCTGCAGTCACTGCCTCTGTCCAGCCTCAGTTTTCCCCTCCCTGTAAAATGGGTACAATATAACCCACCTCGAGTTAATATAATTATTTAGCTGTCAAAATAAAAGCGCCCGAGTACATCATTAGCGCTCAAATATGTCTTTCCCTACCCCTTTTGTCTCTGCCAGTCGTGACCCCTGGTCTGCGATTTTTACACGTAAGAACAGAGACACCTTATCTGGAGGCGGAGGACTGAAGGCGATGACTCAGGTATTAGAGCGTCCAAGGTCCCAAAGCGAGCCTCAGTTTCCCCGTCTGTGGAATAGGCCCGGGGTCTCCAGCGAGGACCCCGATCCAGCCTTACACACAGTAGGAAATCGAGTTGGTGGGGGACGTAGACGCCCGTCCCGCCCCCCCGCCCCCCCGCCCCCCCGCCGCCGCCGTCCCGCTGCGCGCCCAAGGTGAGTGGCCGCGTCACCGCTTCTCCCCCGCCGCCCGCGCCGGCCTTCGGGGCCCCTATCCGAAGCCCCTGGGCTCCAGCCTCCCCGGGCCCAGTCCCGCTACGCCGCCTCCGGCGGGCAGCGGGCCCCGGGCACTCACCGGCTTCCAGGGCCGTCCCGAGGCTTCGGCCTGGGGAGAAGGAGGGGCGGGCCCGCCAGGAGAGCCCCGCCCACACGAGCGCGGCAGGGGCCAATCGGCGCCCGCTGCGACAAGCTACGGCCCCGCCCATGGGGGACGCGCCCGCCAATCAAGAGGACCGGCTGGCGGACCGGGCCAATCAGAAGTTGTCGGAGTGTGCCAGCCGTGGGAAAAGAACGGCGCCGGAGTGCGGAGCCAGGCGGCGCGGTCGTGGGCAGGACCCCAGGCCTGACGGGCAGGGGACGCGACCAATGGCGAGCTGTGGGGGGCGGCCGGGGGCCGGAGGCCCAAGGGACACGGGTGAATGCGCCGCTTTGTGCACG